TATCATGCTATGGGGCAATTTTACATGTTTTTAAGTGATTTATATTAGAAACCAAGCTTAAAAAAGGAAAAACCATGTGTTGGAGCAAAAAGAGCCATTTTCGAACTGAAAATTGCCCAGAGCCGCACGTACGATAGTCTAGCCCCAAAACCAAGTTTGATTCTGCTAAAAAAGCACGTTCTCCCGCACGTGCAGCCCCATTCCCGCACGTGAGGCCCTGCTTCCCGCATGTGCGGGGAGATAGCTCTGTTCAGTCAACTTTGAACAAGCATATCTTTTGCATCCGGACTCCGTTTTGAGTGATTCTTGAGCCTAAAATCAAGTCCTGGAAGTCTAGTTTCCAATGGTGGTAGTCTCACTCCCAAATTCTAAATAAAGAAATAGTTATGCTCAAATTAGTGACGACTGTTCCCTTTCTGTTTACCAGTTTGTACCGTTTCTTCGTCAGAACCATTTTTCCTATCGATTCCTCCTATCTTCTGTAGCATGGATTATAACTAATTAAGGAATAATGAGCTTGGTACCACCATGACTAATTGATTAAATGATCAAAGAGAATAACTAAAGAATTGATTATGATCTCATATTATGTGTTGTGAACTGTACTTGTAGGTCGAGACGAGGACATCGTCCCATTACTACTGAGAGCCGATCACTATGAGTAATAGTACTGGGGTAATACGTTTTGCTTACTATTAATAGTTAATATTAACGTCCTGTTATCTGCAAGTTAACTTCATTGATTCATGGTGAACAAATGGAACATACGTGCATTGTGGAACAATGATATCTTTGTGTATCTAGAATCATTATGTTTTGCCAATGACAGGCCTTTGGCCGTTATGATGTGAATTGTTCTGTCCCTATTAATCGTACGGTAGTGATACATGTGCCTTCTGTTAATCGTTATTATTAATATTTTGTTATACGCAAGACAGCTATGTCGACTTGTACTAAACCATGGGGAAATTTATGTGCACCATTGTATAATGGTATTCTTATAAATATGGGATTATTCTGTTTTGCTAATACTGGGCCAGAGGCCAATGTGTTAATATCTGGGCCAGAGGCTAATCTGTTAATATCTGGGCCTGAGGCCATTCTGTATAATCTGTTAGGCCAGAGGTCTTCTGTATAATCTGTTAGACCTACGGCCGTTCTGTATAATCTGTTGGGCCTATGGCCGTTCTGTATAATCTGTTAGGCTTATAGCCATTCTGCATAATCTGCTGGGCTTATAGCCGTTCTGTATTATATTTGGGCTTACAGCCATTCTGTATCATATTTGGGCTTACAGCCGTTCTGTATTACATGTGGGCCTGAGGCCATTTTAAAATATGATTATGAATAAGATCTGTGTATGGTTTGATATGCATATTTACATTTTCTAAGTCTATGCTCGTTTAACTCACCTCCTTACACTGCTATTATTCACTGAGCTTTGCTCATTCTGTTTGATGTATATTTCTGTAGGTGAGCCATCGAAGATTAACACTAGAATGGTATTGAGGTCTACCTGTCTGCCAAGCCGCCTGGGGTATGCCTCCGTGTTGAGGCCCTAATTTGTGTTGGGAGTCATATAAATTATTAAGTCTTATGTAAGTGTGTGTGAGATCTATATTAGTTCTGTGATTGTATGTGTAACTCTGGGAATGTATTTAAATGCTTGATCTAATTAAACCATCATGTATGCACAAGCTCAATGGATGTTGTCTTTTATTGATATTGCTTCCGCTTAAGGCCCCGTATGTGTTTAAATATTATTCTAAAATCCGTTTTGAGGCCTATGTTTAGGCAGGTCATGGACCAAACTTTTAGGGGCAGGTTTGGGACGTGACAATAGCTATTCAAAGCCAAGCATGCATGATCAAGACCACTCAAATCAGACCTAAAGCATGTTAAATCAAAGCCAAAAATGTACTGAAGTAAAGCATACACATGCTAGATCAATAGGCTAAAATACCAAACAAGCTAGGCTAGTGAACAAGCTTGCACTACAAGTGCATAAACCATGTGTTAGAAATTGGGCGCCCATGTGGCATGACCCTTAGAACCTTTTGAACCTCATCCAAATGGGTTTTGAATTTGAATTCAAACCTATTTGGATGAGCCACTCAGGATATATATCTATCATATCATGATATGGATAGATGATATAGATATCAGATATTATCTCATTTAACCAATGGATAAATGAGATAAATATATTTTATATCTGATATATGGTTATGGGTAACCAAGAGAGAAAACAACGTTGAGTCTGTTTTCTACCCATATACTGACTCTCTCCCAAGAAACAACGATCAAGTCAGTTGCACTGTGGTTTGTGTGGGTGATATTCACCATTGTAATATCACCCCACTGCTGGGATTGATTGATCTGATTCTGGAAGCACGTGATTTATCCACGAGGTTCTATCATCAAAAGGTATGATCTGATGATTTTATTCCGCTGCATGTTTTGTGTTTTGATTTACACCATGCAAGAGGTGACCTTGTCGACCAAAATCAGAGCTAAGGCATGCCAAAATATGAGTAAAAGCCTGCTGGAGTAGAGCCAAAAACATGTTAAAATTGTGGTCCAAAGCATAGAGCATGTTAGGCTAACTAAGAGGATTGCACTACAAGTATATGAAGCATGTACGAAGCAACCAAATTAACCCAAAATAGAGTTATATCATGTTAGAATAAGGTCTAAAACATTCTAAGATAGAGCCTTATGAAGGTAGAAAAGCATGCCAAAGTGTTAAGCCAACAACACATGCAAACAAAACACAAGAGGGGGGGACCACCCCTATTCATTTTGGGTCTCAAAACCCACTTTCCACCACTGAAATTCCTTTGGAATTCAATGGTTGAAAGGCCAAAACAAGGTGGTTCCAATAGCTTTAAAAGATAGCAAGAAGTTAAGAAAATAAGGCATAAGAGAGTGAGAGACACCCCTAACTCAAGCAAGGCCTCAAACAACTTTTTAAAACACTTTTAAAAAAAGGTTTTTGCAGTTGAAGGTTAAGCCAAAAGAAGCATGCAAAGTTGGCTAAGTATGCAATCAAAACAAAGCTTTAAAAGGGAGAATAGGACTCACCCTTGAAGAACAACAAGAACAGCCACTTCTGAGGCAAAACCAAGCCAAAATCACTCAAATGCAACCTCCAAGAACCTCAACTCAAGAGTAAAGGTGTTTCATTAGGTGTTTAGTGCAAAAGTGTGAACAAAACTCACTTTAAGGCACAAAAAAGCACAAATATAGAGAGAGGGGGAGAAATCAAGAAAAAGAGAGATATGTTAGCCCTAATCCAAATTTCTGAACCTTGAACAACAGAGAGGAAGCTCCCTTATATAGAATTTCATGCCTCAAGCTTGTTAGACAAGCTAGAGGCTTGGTGCAATCCCTCCATACACGTGTATGGAGGATGCTTTCTGTGCCTAACAGCTGGCACATCTAGTAAGGAAAATATTTGCAGAAAGTGCAAAAAGGCCGCCGGCCAATTAAAGTGGTCGACCGACCACTCCCCCTAATCGACCGACCGCCCGCCAAAAAGGGTCTTCAAGGAATAAAACTGGTCGGCAAGGGAGGAAGAGGGTCTACAGAGACAGTAGAAGGTGGTGGCAGGCTGCCGGCCACCCTAGGTGGTCCACAAACCACCCACCCCAGCTGACCGACTACCAAAAGTGGCTGGCAGGGAAGAAAAGTGGTCTACATGCGGGAAAATTGGTCTACAACGCTATTCCACCCTCCAGGCAAAGGGTAACAAGGTTTGGTTCAAAAACAAACCAAAAGGAAGAAAAACAAGAGTCCGCAAGGCAAGGCACTCAGCCAGAAGCCCCAAAAACTAGTCTACGGGCCACTACAAGTGGCCTACAAGAGGGAAAGGTAGCCTACGGCTACAAAAAGTGGCCTACAGGCCTCTGTCTCCCTCTAGGCAAAGGCATCAAGGCATGGTCCAAAAACTAGGCCAAAAGGAGAAAGTTAAGAGGTCTCGAGACAAAGCGCTCAGCCAAAGGCTCTGGAAACTCAAAACGAGCACAAACATGCACAATCATCGAGCGCTCAATCGATGACGTCTGAGTCTTAAGGTCGGTCAAAAATGGGGTGTTTATAGGTACCTTTTCTATGATTAATCTGGTCTTTTGGTCGCCAAAAGTTTGGTAGGGAAATTTGAAACGTAGAGGTGGGAACTGAAATTTTTTTGCGACAAAAAAATTTGGTCGCTGATTGTTCAACAACGTCGTTTTGTACTAGGAAAACAGAATTTTTTTTTAAAAAAAAGCCCTAATCTCCCCTCAGTCTCTAGCTCACTCTCTGTGTCTCTCTATGTTGGTTCGCCTTCTCCCTCTCTTTGTGTTCTCTCTCTTAATCGGTGCCCACTCTTTCTAGCTCACTGAAGTCCCTCACCACCGTTGCTCACGTCCGTGCACATCGCCACCAGCGCAAATCGCCATCGCCCTCTATTTCTCTATCTCTCTCTTACATAGATTCATTTGGTGGCTTTTATTTTGTCTCAGACCACACTCGACTGACGACCCTCTCTCTCTCTCTCTCTGTTCGGTCTCTTCTCTATATCTCTGTCTTCTTGTCTCCCTATGTGATTTGGGTTCAGGTGAGTGTTTGTCGACTCTGATCTCTCTTTGATTCTGTGTTCTTTCCTCTGTTTTGGTATCGGAGCTCAATGAATTCATTTGAATTGGGAATTAGTTGAGCTCAAGTAACTGCTTTATGCATTTTTTATAATATATATTTATTTGTCTCATAGTTATTCTTATAGTTTTTAGTTGCATCTTAAATATTTATAAATTTCTAGTAAATATGACAATTTTTTATTTTTTTCCCCAAAAAACTAGACATTCTATTTATAATCTACATTTTTATAATACAAAAATAATTTATAAACTCATCCTTAAAATCATTTTATCTACAATTTTTCCTCCATTTTTTATTTTTTTTTTAAATTTTTTATGCAAAGCATTGAACAGAGCACTTGGAAAATTTCTATAATAACATGCCTACATCAGTCTCATATCTCTCTCTCTCCATCGGCATCTCACACAAACACACGAGCACAACCACCGACCACCACCAGCCACTGTTCATCCGATTCAGAAACATGAACACGTCTCCGGCGTTAATTCCCCTTGGAGTTTGATTCCCTCCATAGATCCGTCGCCGCTACCGTTGGCCTTGGTATCTCCGGCGGCAGATTTCTTCTACGGCGAGGTCGTTCGATTCTGATTTCTTTGTGAGTTCGATTCATCGTCTCTCTCTCTACTTTCTCTTTCTCTACATATATAAATCAATCGTATATAATTTCTGATTTGTCTGATTTTTTCTTAACTGATTATTTTCTCCATAAATCATTTTCGAATTTCTGATTATTTTCTTAACTGATCTGTAGTTTAAATTACACAAATCCAGATCTCTCATCTCTCATTCACCAGGTAACTAACTCATACTTCTAGAGAGAGAAATGAGATAGCAATTTCATATTTGATTGAACATTGGTTTGGAGGAAATCAAAACCCTTAGATTTGTCTGAAATTGTTGTGTTTTGTTGCTTTGTTTCTGCATTGATTCACTGAACTGCATCATTCTCTCCTGTGGTTGAAGAAAACTCAACCTCAATTTTTTAAACATTTACTATAAGAATCTACAAGCTTTTGCAATTGCATTCATGTGGCTTAAAATCAAAATCTTCTAGTTGATGTGATCTTTTCTTCTTCACTGGACATAGTAATGAAAATAATGATACAACTGATGCAGGGAAGGGTAATACCATATAATTTTATTAAGAAACAGATTCATACATACATCTAGTGTGAACTCATCTATTAGTAAATATATGAATATGTAATATTTAAATGATTGTTACTCTTACCCCGCAGTTTTATAATTACACTTTGAAATTTGTTTTTAGTTAAATTTGCAAATGAGACAATGTCTGAAGTATGTTAGAATATAAAATTTGGAGTGCGAATAATATTTTTTAATTTAAATTTATAAAATTTGGAGACCATATGTTTATTTATACGGCATGATTGTAATGTCTCAAACTTAGTGATTAACTGTTGCATGATGAAAAAGGACCAAAAAAATAAAAAATAAAAACATATATATGATTAATTGTGATGTTAAACTATAGACTTATGGTGAGCTGGTCAAGTGATTGATTGTTTTTATATTTAACTGCTATATATTGGAATACTAAAATTGGCATAGCATGCGCTCTTAGTGGATATATTGGTTATAATTAAAAGGGCAACATGACACAGTTTCTAACTCTAGTGAAGCATGAAACTTTTTTTTATTCGTGTCCATTGCCTAGTACTGAGTGTAATTCACTCCTGGAATTGAAATAGGAAAAATGATCGGTTGGATGTCCTGAAGTTGATAATTGGACTATTCAGTCTCAATCAATGAACACAAATTACATAATTTTTATTCTTTTTGTCTTTGTGGAATAGAAAATAATAGTCTCATTATTATTTTTCTTATATACTTGAATGACAGGTTAGGACAACAATGGAGGTAAATCGCCGTATAGGAATGGTAGATTATTGTGATTGGTCCTTTCTTTCCCTTTCTTCTTTAAGGTTATATTGGACGGTCCTTTTCTTTCCTCACTATTACTGGCTGTCAACTAGCCATTAATGCTGTAGGTTATCACTGACACTACGACAGTTTCAATAGCTGATTTTGCTTGTGAAGCGGAGATTACTGAGTAGGTGCTACTGTTTTGTATGAATCACTATTAATTGTTTTGTCATATAGTCTTCATTCTTTTATTCGTCACAAATAATTTTCTATTTCTTTTCCTATAGGTGTGAGCCATTCCCAGATGAATGCTTCTTTTTGGAGGTGAAATATCATTACTTTCTTATATTTCTTGTTCCCCTTTTACCTATTTTACGCAATTTTTATCTATTATGGTAGCTATTCATATGTTTTCCATTTTATCCAATTGTCTGGTTTTTGAAGTAGGCCTTTTTTTTGGTCCCTAATGATTTATGAAGGTATCGCATGGCTGAAGTCGAATGGGTAAAGGATATATATCCATCAGAAGGAACAAGAGAGAGAGCAGATGTAAGTTTTACTGCAATTCGACTTACATCTATCTTGCATTTGATTTAGTAAAGATAATGAGAAATGCTAAGGACATATCAGACTGCATTTAGTTGCAAACGTTAAGGGTATATTAGACTGCATTTAGTTGTAATAGGAATTTGTAAGGCTTTGCCTGAAGATAATATGTTTATATAATGCTGTAAAGCTTACAGAATCGAGCATAGGAGAGTGTATACATCAAAAGCCAAGCTGGGATTTTAGATGCACCTTTTGTTCCTTTCTTTCCCTTGGTTCATGAAGCCCATGTGTCATGTAACAAAACCGTTTACGAGGCCTCCATAATCAGAATGTACAGAAGAGGAGACAGGATTCCTTGCCTTTATCCCTATAGGTTTGCTAAAGAACTCCTTATTGTAGAGAGACAAAATTGAATCTACCTTCTCCATTTAGCTCCAAATCTCATTCTCTCCGTCAAATATAACAAAAAATTACATAGGTTTGCTAAAGATCTCCTTATTGTAGAGAGAAAACTGAATCTACCTTCTCCATTTAGCTTCAAATCTCATGCTCTCTGTCACATATAACAAAAAATTACGGTTCACACAATCATAATTTGTAAGCATTTTCCATAATTTGTAGTTTGAAGCCACTTACTTCCCCAGACTGAATTTTAATCTACTACGAAGAGCACAGATAACCAATGGAAATCTCTTTTCTTGGACATGTTCATTTCCAATTTTACAAGCACAATGATACTTTCACCTCTCCCTTCCGTAATGCAACACTTATGTTTCATGATGAATATGCGTGCAGATAGAAGTAGACTTGTGGAACTCGATAAAGTGGAGTCGATGATGCCCACAGCAGGGGATCCTGAACGCTACAGTTTTTGGGTATCCATATTCACAATTCATTCTGTCTAGGACCTGAATGTGGTTTTTATAGTCTCATTGTTGATCTATGCGTGATTGTAGCTTGCTACTTTAACAAACCGGAGGCCATCAGAAAGATTGGAACTCCTTAGCAAAAATACACGAGCACCACCAGCAGCCACCACCACCAGCCACTGCCCCTCCGATGATGTTAGTTACACGAGCACCAATCGATTTATTCCGAGCTTGGCATTTGATTCTTATTCTGAGCCTTGGATTTATTCAGTGAGTGCCTTGGATTAATTCGGTTAGGATTGCATCCCTTATTCGATTAATTCAGTTTCTCCTCTCTCATCTTTCTTTGATTTTGATTTGATTTCTATAGTTTTGATTTTGATTTCTAGGGTTACATATTTTTAATGGAATTCAATTATTATTTGATGATTTAGTGAAGTTACAAGAAAGGAAATTTGTTAATTATTGCTCCTAAGCTTTTTTTTTTTTAAATGTTATTGTTCCTTAATTGTGGTTGGGTTGAATGAATTTTGTTCGATATTGGATTGAATGTTTATAAACAAAAATTGATTGTTCTCAAAACAAAAACAAAAAAAGAAAGAGATTTAGTGACTAAAAAATTGGTTAGCAAATTCTACACTTTTGCGACTAAAATCATTGGTCGGCAATTTCTTACCTTTTGGTGACTAAATTGTTAGTCGGCGATTCCTCTACTTTTGGCGACTAATCTGTTTGGTCGTGGAATGTGACAATTGGCGGCTAAGATATTTGGTCAGGAAAATATCACTTTTCGCGATCAAAGTGTTTTATCGACAAAATGGATTTGTCGCAGTAATGATATATTTAGCGACCAAAAATTTAGTCGGCAAATCCAACTTTTCTTGACCAACAAAAATTTTGGTTGCAAATTACTTTTGCCGACCCTCAACTGGTGACTAAAGTAGTGACAAAAAAATTGGTCGTGGATAACTTTTGCAGACTAAAAATGGACTTTTAGCGACCAATTTTTTGGTCGGCAAAGGTGTTATTTTTTGTAGTGAATATTTACCACAATAGTACATAACATATACCATAAAAATGCGCAACAATAATGTATATGATACACATCTCTTGACGGGTGTGTATCATAACATTACTCGTCTAAAAAATTAGTTTAGAAAATGAGCTTATATATTATGAGTATTACTACGTTCCCAAACATAAAAATCTAATAAATACTTAGAATTTTGCATGAATGATTTAGATTTACTTAAAGTATAAACCCACCGTATTAATTCTAATTTTTTTTTGGTTGCCTAGTACCATAGAATTACTCATTTTTTTTTCTAATAATAATTCTACTTGGTAGCCTAAAGTTGTGGTTGCCAGCCACCTCAACACTTGCTATTATCACAATGAAAAAAAAAAAAATGAGAACTACATGTAGGTGGGAGAAGGAAAAAAAATAACAAACATATTGGGAAGTGCAACCCACAACCTTTCATTTGCATCCCATCATAGACACACTTGCACCCCTTGTGTTGGTAATTTTTTTTCCCTTCTCTCACCTACATGTAGTTCGCCCCCCCCCCTCCAAAAAAAAAGCAGAAATTATCTTCCATGAGTATTTCTTTAAAATTATTACACATTGATGAAAACAATTTAAGAATTTAATTATTAACATTTATAAAATTTATTATTAATTTGTATTATTTATTTAAATATACACTTGTGGGATCCCCTTTTCCTGGCAGCTAGGACCCAATCACTCCTCCATGTGTCAAATGAATGAGGTGCAATGTGAGATATGAACGAATGGTTTAGACTTAGCATACTTAATGAAAATCTACCAATCATACAAAAGTGCAAAATATAGATCACACAAAAGATATGGAGTTGTCATCTAATCTTCTAGGAAAACCAGGAAACCTTAACTCATACCCGAAGGCTATGATCCTTCATCCCCAAAGTGTGTAGGTATGAGGGAGAAAGGTCTTTTATTGAGCACTTCCACTCTCTCAATTAAAGATCGACCTCTACTAATTCTTGATATGAGATTCATTAACACAATATGAATATGTAACATAATTATTTATGCTAACATTACTATGTAAAGCAAATAAGTATAGACTAAACCACCTATTTTGGAACGTTTCAATCTCCTGTGTTTTGAAAGAGTTTTTGATGCGACTATCCTGGGAAAAAAAAAAAAAGGAAAAAAAAGTGAGATAATTCGCAAACAAGAAGATTTGAACTATTCCATCTTAGGCGATAAAACCTCCAATTAGTGGGCAAACACAGTGATTATATCACATAAGCACATAACCTCATGGTAGTATGCTAGACATGATAAGAAAGCAACCGCACATATAGGATGCATAAGAATAAAAAAAGACTCACTTATTGCTGCTCTGCACCATGCCACGAGCATAAAAGGTTAAAAACCAATGCATAATCCTAGATACGAGTCTAAGTGATGAGATGCAAAGGAAATGATGAGAATACTTACCAAGTACCCCAACTAAGTGCAACAAAAGATAAACAATTAGAAAATATGCATGATCCTAAATGCGAATTTCTACCAAATGCAATATTCACACACAAAATAAAGGGCAAATTACGATGATAATCCCTGTATTTTGATCATTGAGTCATTTTAGTCCTTGTAATTTCAACTGGCTCAATTTTGACCATGAATTAATGATCTTGTCTTAATTTGGTCCAATTGATTACAACTCTTAGCATTTCTTTATGGAAACTACTCATATAACTATCACGTGTCATATTTTTAAGGGAAAATTTATAGACTTACTCAACTCAGTGAGTTAACATCAACCAATTTAGTAATAATTTTCTTTAAATTAATCGAACCAAATTAATATAAAATTTAAAATTAAATGTCAAAATTGAGCCAAATGAAAGTGTAGGGACCAAAATGACACAAGATAAAATATAGGGACTACTAGTGTAATTTACCCCAAAATAAATCCTACAAGCTCAGACACTATTAAAATTGCATGTGATACAACAAATTTATACATGCCACGTTGTAGCTCGACTTCAATGCTCTTTTCAGATACGATAGCCCTACAGTTCAGTCTCCCGTGGTTCTGAATCTGATCTCACAAGTGCAATGTGAAATAGATAAACTCAAAAGAGTTCAAATTTGACAAATCTTTTGGAAAATAAATTTTGAGCCTACGACTGACCACAGTACACCACGACTCAATAAAGGAACAACAATCTAAACACATCTCCCTACACTAAAAAAAAAAACGACTCAAAACAAGAATCAAACAAACAAAAACAATAGACACAACACTTGGATGTTTTCCACCGGTGGGAGACCTCTTGGTTCATGGGGAGCCCACTGCTTCCCCAAGTATTGTTTTCTACCCTTTTTTATCAATGATTCCTACATCACTTTGGCACTCTTATCTTTTTTTCTCTAAAAAGCCATTTCTTCACTTTTTCTCTGAGCGCACATCTCTCTATTCTTTAATCTCTCTTATTTTTATCCCTTCTTAAGTGTGGATAATGGATAAGCTGAAAGTTGTGGGCTCTTTGTGCTCACGACTAGTGAGTTTCTCCCACAATGGAGTTGTGGTGCGGTTGGATGTGCAGTAGATCCACAACTGACATCGTTTGACGACACCCTTGGCGTAACTTGGCTAAGATGAGCCATAGCATGTCTTGCCAGCTGGGAATACAGTTGATTGGCCTTACACACTGCGTTTTCTACTTCCCTATTCCGATTCAGACGCCAATTTGGGTGTGATCAAACACGTCTAGATGAGAGGATCGAACATCCAGCTTCATTTCCAGTCTGTGCTTCACACTTGGCACGATACCTCACTGCTTGGAGGATGAGAGAGTTTTTGGCCCCTACTATTAGCTTCAGCTGTGCCCTTTCTAGTGAGTGCATTGATAATAGGGAAAAGACAAAAAAACCTTACTCAACTATACCCCTAGTTCATCATTTTGACCATTTTTTATTTTTTGGCTTCTGCTAAAACAATTTTAACCAACATGAGAGTTAGATTAACATGTTTATTCGACTTTCTATTTTGAAATCATGTAAGTTAGGCTGTGAGCATTGAAAATTTTCTTTTTTTGGGTCCAAGAAGTGGTCTGGTTTTGGAAAATAGAATAATTTCTGAGAAAATTAGTCAACTTCATTAAAAATCCTTAAAACTGTTTCTGTAAATGGCCGCTACTCAACCAACGTGGAATTAACACTTGAGATGCACAACCTCAGATCTGAACTTGAATTGTCTTGCAGCTGAATCCTTTAACGGAATAGGACAACTGAATTTGAACGAAGATGAGCCAATTGGACATGGATAGGATAACTGAGTTGAACAAGCCAATCAACATGGATGAGACAAGCAACCTAAAAATGGTTGGGGCCGAACTTCAGGATGAAGTTGCCTACGTATCCCAAATATGGGAATTGGGCCTTACGTAGTTCTGGGTTAAGGTGCACTCGAGTATTAATACTCTCCTTTTACGCTCTAACTTTTGCTAAGGCCGCCCTTTCAGGTTTTCAACCTTGCGAGCTCCATTTTTTCTTTCTCTTTCTTCTCTTTCTTTCTTTTTTCATTTTTCCTTAGTTCTTTTTTTTTTCTTTTCTTTTTTCTTTGTTTCCATTTTTTCAATTTTGTTCTTTTTCTTTTTTTTCTTGCTCTAACTTTTGCCTGAGTCACCCTTCCGGGTTTTCGTCCCAGGGAGCCTCTCAAGGATAGAAAAGTTTAACTTGTCCAGGTTGATTGGCCGTAGGATCTCTAAGCCATCTGAATCCATGAGAATGGTTATTGTTCTTGACTAAATAGTCTTGATGATGTAAGAGTCCATCCAATTGGGTCTAAATTTGCCCCTAGTGTCATGGATAGAATCTCGATTATCCTTCAGCAAAAATTTTCTTCTCTCTAATTATGGGATTTGGCTTTCTTGCCAGTCTCCTTTGGTTTAAGCAATGATTTAGTTTTGAATCTTCGAGCATATCTGACCTTTTTTGCCCCTAGTTCAAGGGCTGCTTCAAATTCAGCCATGCAAGCCTCATACTTTGGTTGACCGTTGAACATTCTAAATCAATGTTCAAGGTTTGAAAGCAAAGGGGTTGAGTCTCGAGGCTGGGAGTGATCTTATGCTATACAATCTCAAGATCAATTCTAGGCATGTCTTCGTAGGACTACACAAAACATTTTTTGAAATCTTTTGATAAAGCGACTAGTCGCTCGTGCTCTTCTGAAGACAAAGCAGAACTAATATGGACTAAGCTAGGATTCTTTCCAGTACTTACATTAACAGACATGATCTCATTCATTTAGGGCTTAGCACACATTTCTTCCTCTCAGTTGATCAAATTTTTACAAATCCGAAGGAATTTCTCCCTCTTTGTTTTCACCACAGTTTTGGAAACGGTTTTGAAAAACCTTTGGTCAATGTAATGATTTAAAGGCATAGAGAAGTAGGTGAAAATTGCTGC